GCGGGGGACCAAAGGGGACAGCCGGAGGTGAGCGCCCAGGACCCCCCCAAGCCGCCCGGCACCCTTGCCGGAGAGCCTCCTCCCCCCCCACCCTCTCCATCCTCAACCCCCCTCCTAAAACGGTGGCAGTTGGGGAAGGCAGGAGGAGACCAGGGCGGCGGTTCGTACCGAAGGAATTGAGGAAGTCGGCGATCTTCTTAATGGAGCTCGTGATCACTTCGATGTACTCGCGGTTGGCCCAGTCCTGGTGGATCTCACGCTGGACCGGGTCCTCCTGCACCGACATGACCTCCGGCTGCCAGCGTCCCCCGAACCCGGCCCCCACCCGCCCCCGTCCACCCAAAGGAGCCGAGGACCGCGCCTGCGCGCACACGGCACTCGCAACGTTCCCCGGAGGCTTCCTCCTCAGGAGCAGGCCGGGATCACAACTGCGCGTGCGCTCCCTGCTTCCGCTCTCTCTCTCTCTCTCTCTCCTCGCCCCAACCAGGAGCATGCGCAGAACTGGCGCCTTTGCGCTTCGACTGGAGCGGAAGCGGGCTGGTTGGAAGGAGGAGGTGGGGGGATGTCTTTTTGAGGGCGTGGGCTCGTGTTGTTATCGAGTCGAAGGGGGGGGGAAGCCTGCCTTAGGCCGGCGATGCAATTCCCCCCTCCCCAAAAAATCTGTAACGATCCTTGTTTAAAAACAGTATTTTGAAAACAGCAAATACTTTACTAAAACTGCATCGTGACAATTATTGGGTTGGAGTGCAAATCTCATCGCCCTTCCCTCCTTGACTGTGTGGACTGCAAGAGCTGCAGAGTGGCAGTCCAGCCACAAGTTATTTCTTCCCCCCCCCCCCCAGCTCCCAGCTCCGATTTAGCGAATAGCCATTGCTTATACAGTATTCAAGGCAGGATAGTTCAGTGGTTTAGGTGTCTGGCTGCAGAAGCAGAGGTTGGGGGTTTGATTCCCCAGTGGGCCTCCTGCTGGTAGAGCCCCCCCCCCCCGGTGTAGCCTTGGGCAAGCTGTAGGGACCCCAAAAAGGGAATGGTAAACCACTCCTCTAACTGAAAAACCCTGAAAAGGGTTGCCACCACAATTGATTCGACAGCACATGGTTATTATTGGACAAATTGAATCAACTTCTTGAGAAGTTCTAGTGTAGTGATACTGCAATAGCAAGCTGTAGGGACCCCAAAAAGGGAATGGTAAACCACTCCTCTAACTGGAAAACCCTGAAAAGGGTTGCCACCACAATTGATTGGACAGCACATAGTTATTGGACAAACTGAATCAACTTCTTGAGAAGTTCTAGTGTAGTGATTTCACACTGCAATAGCATGCCTACTTCTTGTGTCCGCATTTTCTTTACGCAGTATCTTCATAAAGCAGTTTTTAAAAATAGGGGGCCTGTGGTTGTTTATAACCATTTAAAGCCTGCAATGGAAAATGTCACTGTTCAAGTAGAACATTTTCTAATGCTCAAGAAAGTTGTCCCAGTTCTATCGCAGGTATGTGTTTTAGGAAAGGACAGATGACACACAGCACAGCACATACTGTACTTCATGTTATATCTGACCAGATATTTTCATTTTCCATAGTTCTGAACGGTGTTTGCAAAAGTCAATACTGTCAAGTAGAACATTTTCTAATGCTCAAGAAAGTTGTCCCAGTTCTATCTCAGGTATGTGTTTTAAGGAAAGGACAGATGACACACAGCACATACTTCATGTTATATCTGACCAGATATTTTCATTTTCCATAGTTCTGAACAGTGTTTGCAAAAGTCAATATACCTGCTGAAATAGTTTCATGCCAATTTTTATTCTGGAACTGACTCTGGACATATGGAATGTTTATAGTATACTTCTGTAACTACTGCGAGAGAGTAGACCCCCCCTACCTGTGATGAATCCAAAAAATGCAGCAACTAAAGGGTTTAGGAAATAATATTGCCCATATATGAAACAATAAATTCCATCTGAAAAATATAGATCCCATTTTAAGTTTTGAAGTGAGGAAGGGGGATTTAAAAGGAAACTTACTCAGTGCATTAACAAAGCAGCATGTGGGAAAGAGTTGATGCTTTCATCACCTATTTATCAAGTTATAGAAAGCTTGCCTTTCATAGAATCATAGAATGATTACGTTGGAAGGGGTCTATAAGGCCGAGTCCAACCCCCTCCTCAATGCAGGAATACCATTGCATTAACAAAGCAGCATGTGGGAAAGAGTTGATGCTTTCATCACCTATTTATCAAGTTATAGAAAGCTTGCCTTTCATAGAATCATAGAATGATTACGTTGGAAGGGGTCTATAAGGCCGAGTCCAACCCCCTCCTCAATGCAGGAATGCCAATCAAAGGATATCTACCAGGTGGTTGTTTAAGTTCCTCTTGAATGCCTCCAGTGTTGGAGCACTCATCACCTCTCCAGGTAATTGGTTCCAGTCTTACTGCTCTAACAGTTGAGAAGTTTTTCCTGATATTCAAACAAAATCTGGCTTCCTGTAACTTGAGCTCATTGTTGTCCTGCACTCTGGAATGATCAAGAACTGATCCAGGTGCATTGTTGTCCTGCACTCTGGAATGATCAATAACTGATCCAGGCCCTCCTCTGCATGGCAGATTTTCAAGTATTTCAAAAGTACTATCATATCTCCCCTCAAACTTCTTTTCTCAAGGCTAAATAAGTTCTTTCAGTCTTTCCTCACAGGGCTTAGTTTCCAGCTCCCTGGTCACTGCATGACAGATTTTCAAGTATTTCAAAAGTACTATCATATCTCCCCTCAAACTTCTTTTCTCAAAGCTAAATAAGTCCAGTTCTTTCAGTCTTTCCTCACAGGGCTTAGTTTCCAGCTCCCTGATCAACCTTGTTGCCCTCCTCTGCATTTGTTCAAATTTGTCAGCACCCTACTTGAAGTGTGGTGTCCAGAACTGGACACAGTACTCAAGATGAGGGCTAATCAGTGCTGAATAGAGGGGGACTAGTACCTTGAGGGATTTGAATGATGAGGGCTAATCAGTGCTGAATAGAGGTGAACTAGTACCTTGAGGGATTTGACATAGAATAACCATGGCCACATTTGAAGGCTGAAAAAATGAAATGTAGTGGAAGTGATTTTTTAATTAATTGAGGGTAGGTGTTACTAAAAGAGAAGATATAACAATAGGTTGGGAAGGGAGAGCTGCTATTTAAGTTTTTCAGTTATGTTTTTGCTTCTTCTATCTGTATAATCGCTACAGTGCAATATTCCCTCTAAGATGTACAGATGCAGTGGAATGCACCACTCCATTGAGCATGCACAGCCAAATGGAGAGCTGCTATTTAAGTTTTTCAAAGTTATGTTTTTGCTTCTATCTGTATAATCGCTACAGTGCAATATTCCCTCTAAGATGTACAGATGCAGTGGAATGCGCCACTTCATTGAGCATGCACAGCCAAGTGAATGTATCCACGTTTGTAGCTGGAACTCTGCATGAAGCAAGGTCCCAAACATCGTTATGCGAAAATCCCCCATAGGAAACATTGTTAGGTGAGGCGGCAAAATTTCCAGCAAAGGCCGTCGTTATGCGAATTCATCATTGAGCGAGGCACTTGTTAAGCGAGGCACCACTGTATCCATGTTTGTAGCTGGAACTCTGCGCACAGGGGGTGGAGCCTCCGTGCGGAGCTCTGGAGAATAAAGGGCACGTTGCTACAGTGGTATTAAAATGTGACAGAAGGGGTATGTGATTCTGGGTATTGCGATAGACTGTGCAGCAATTTGCAGACAGTCACAGACCCTTTTTTAAATGAACATATCAGCTCAGGCTATTAAAACACGATTTCTTTTCTTAAGTATTTGTAGACATATGATGCTATGCCATTCAACTGATGAGACAATGCGAATGATAGGCAATGTAATTTTCCTATAATTTTCAGCCTTGCTGGGTGGGGCTCCGTCTCTCTCGCACTTGACTTCACACCTTCATCTGTGTGAGACTACGCCCCCCCCCGCCTGTGCTGGGTTCCATTGGGACCAGAACCCAACACGATTGTTGCGCGGAGAGAGACAGCTGTGTGCAGGGAGGCAGCGATGTGCACACACACACACACACGTGCCCAACTTAGAGGGAACTTTGCATATAGGCTATACAGTATGCCAGCTCAGTCCTGAAATAGAATGGTATGGTGATGGGGGGAAACTGTAAAGGTGAAGCAAACCTTATAGATACTATTAATGACCTGGGTGGAAGAACTGTAAAGATTTCATATAGCATGTTGAGATTTACTTTATTTAGTAAATGGGTAAATAAAATACCAACCATTTTAATACACGTTCTCATATATAACACAAAACCCCTCCAAATGAAAATACTTTATTTATGGAAAGTAGCATTCTGGAATCTTTTAATGAACAGATGTAGGTAAATAGAAATATTTTTGCTATTGTTCTCAGTTCAGTGATTTTACAGAAGGAAGTCTTAAAACAGAGTATTTCATTCTAAAAGTGCATAAAAGCAAAAATCACAATGTGAGACAGGCTTAAGCACATACATTACATTTAAGCACATGGACGTAAACACATGAAAGCTTCTTTGTATTGTGATCAAAAAGTAAATAAAAGTGCTGTTTACTCAAAAGTGAAGGGATCCATATTTGGGCTTGGAAATCAGGAGTTGCTCTTTATTCTAAGAACCACTGCCGTCCTATCAGAATGAGATACTAACAAAACTTTAGTTTATAATCTCTGAGTAACACATTTGCTTCTTCAATATATTTAACATCATTTTAACTTTAAATATACTTTAAGCTTGAAACGCATATCTGTTCAAGAAGGCATGTCTTTAATACAGTTGATACAGTTGCATGAGATCACAAATAAACCCGAACAGCTGTTTCTTAATTCTGATGTTAAGGTGCTTTTCTGCTGCCAATGCAAGATCAACATCAGTGATAGGCAAGATATGACCCTCATCAAAATGTGTGCACCTTTCATCAGCCCTAGCCACCCTAACCCCTGGTGAGGTACAATGGGAACTGTAGTCACAAGATAGGTTCCCTGTTCCTGGTAGGGATCAAAACATCTCTCACTAGTAGATTCTTAGATCAAAGGAATTTATAAATGCAAATTGATAGCATACAAAAGATGTTCAGGTACCATAAAATAATATTTACCTGTACCTGAAGATCTCTTAACATAAAAAATGAATTCTTAGAGAGACAACTACAGTAAATATTTTAAGATTTGCTTGGCAGTGTCAAGATGTGGTGGTTAGGGAACAAAATGTATGATGTAGGGGAAGACAGATGGACTTGCAGGCAAGGGTGAAAAATGCTCAGTATTTTGATTTCCAAGGTGAAAATCTTTCTAGAGATAGCTGAATATTTAAAGAACATCAAACCACATTTCTTTTATTTCATGCTCTACTCCACCCCACTTATCCATGCTTAGATTTCAGTAATAAACTCACGGGGGCAGAAAAGCTTTGTTAGTCTGACAAGTTTCAGTATTCTTCCGAAAAATACTTCTTTTATCTTACACATCCCAGTAACTGTGTCCCAAGGAGTTAATCCTGGGATATAGTCCATTTTAATCAGGGCTGTCTTCATCACTATCTTTAAGATTTATCCTGTTTTCGCTTTCTGAATCTTCCCTCTTGCCTCTGCTCCTGTGGACAGAAATATATGCTTAAGCAGCAAAGACTGAGAGAAATAATATACTGTATATAAATTCTCCACCAGTATTCTTCTCATAAGTTGTAGTATATTATTGGTTTTATTTGCTTGTGCTTCAGTTAACTGGTTTTGCAGTTTCTCAAAGAATAAACAGTTGAAAACAGCTCTTTAAACAGACTGATGCAGTAACCATTTTCAGATTGACAAACTTTAATTATAAGTGGAAATGTAATTGATTTTGCACACTGTTGGAGAAGTTGCACACTTCTTGTATGTTCATCCTGCTATATTCCATCTACAGAGTTGCTATACATGGAGAAGTTTCAGCTCGCCTGAGCAGTGTATTAAAGAAAAACATGCAAACAAAACTTTAAAATATAAATTATTCATTGAACACCACATGTTTACTTATTTCAGCATGGTTTTGCACTCCTTCCCATGACATTTCAAAAAATTAAATGTTTTAGCATTTGTTTCAGATCAAAAGTGTAACATTTAATTCGTGGTTATGCATCCATATCTTTGCAACCCTCCTGAAAAGGCTAGAGAAAAGTAGTCTTGCTGCCTTTCTCTGTTCAGGAAATGAAGGGCCTGGAGAGCTTTTTCCAGTCTAATTTTATCTTCTGATTATGATAGCCTACCTGTGTCCATATGTTCATCTACCCCCCACCTAGAGGCTGCCAACTTAACTGTGGGCAAATATGTTAGCAAGTACAACAGCATTTTCATTCTAGTTTACAAAATTCAGAATATAACCTCAGTAAAGACATCTTACAATTTAGCATTGACCATACAGGCAATTTACTTTTTATTTTGGCTATCGCCCAAATCCAAAATTTAAGAGGTACTTAAAATATCTCCGTCACATCAGACACACTGCCTTCAAGAAAAAAATAATACCTCAACAGGATCCTCTCTGCTGATCCTGGAAACCTCCCCTTCCTCCTCCATCTCGCTTGCCTGGGATGCTTGCGAAAGGATTTCTTCTCCCTGAAATGGAAACAATAAACTTCAGAAGTCAGTTAGAAGTAGACGTCTAAAGTCCACATGAGGCTTCCACCCAGTAGTGCGAGAAGCTGACTGAACACATTTGGCACAAGTTGCTCTTTGTTTCAGTCAGACAGAAAAGGATATATTAGATGATGTGTAATTAATAAACCAGAGTGCAGTAAATGAACACCCAATGAAGAGGGTGGTAGTCCATCTAGTTAGTTTATACAATGTTTCAAGTCTCTTTGTTGGTTTTGCTGCAACAGATTAACATGGCAACCGCCCATAGTAAGCAATAAAGTTCACATAGAGAGCTTTTCATACCTGACCCTTTTTGTGGACACTCAATACGCTTACGCCTGCTGTGACTGAGAAACTGTTACTCCAGGTACCATTGACTCCAAGAGGAGCTGTTAGCACATTTCCAAGATGAGTTGGCAACAGATATGTTCCCCTCTGATTCCCCTTCTAGATCTAATTCAAGCGGTTAGTTAAAACCTCAGGCAGGTAGTGACCTTGATACTTAAGACTGTAAAACCTCAGGCAGGTAGTGACCTTGATACCTGTACTTAAAAGACTGCATTTCCACCAATGTATCTGTCTTTGTATTTATAACTTCCACACAGGTAGTCTTGCATAAGAACATAAGAAGAGCCCTGCTGGATCAGGCCAAGGGCCCATCTAGTCCAGCTTCCGGTATCTCACAGTGGCCCCACCAGATGCCTCTGGGAGCACATGAGACAACTAGAGACCTGTTTCCTGATACCCCTCCCCTGCACCTGGCATTTTGAGGTACCTTCCTTTTAAGACTGGAGATTATACAATTCCCATCATGGCTTGTAATCTGTGATGGACTTTTCCGCCAGGAATCTGTCCAATCCCCTTTTAAAGGCATCTAGGCCAGATGTCATCACCACTTCCTGTGGCAAGGAATTCCACAGACTAACAACACAGTGGGTCAAGAAATATTTTCTTTTGTCTGTTCTCACTCTCCCAACACTCAATTGGAATGGATGTCCCCTGGTTCTGGTATCGCGTGAGAAGGAAAAGAGCTTCCCTCTATTCACTTTATCCATCCGCTGCATAATTTTATTCGTCTCAATCATGTCGCCTTTTCTCTAGACG